GCTTGGGACCGTGAGGACAGGCTGCCCGCCTCGGAGAGACACCGGGTAAATCGTTATCCAAACCAGACTCGTCGTTCTTCTCAGGAGTGTGCTACGTGTTTTCATCAAGTGCATTAAAATAACCAGAAACTTATGCATGCACGGTCCCATGGTCGGCTGTGGTACATGTGGCTTGTCACTGTGACTTACAGCAGGTGGGGGCAAGTCAGCGGGACTGCAAGGCAGGGCAGCGATCAACAGAGCAGACCTGGTGTGTGAAATGAACGCTTTTCTGTGGGCTTGAAAAGTGAAAAGGCAAGGAAGGTCACTAAGCACTGTTGTTCTTGCCATTGCAAATCGTAAGAACATGAGGGTTCCTCCCTCAGTCTCCTCCAGCCTAAAAGTCCCAGCTCTCTCAGCCTTTCCTTGTATGTGAGATGCTTCATTCCCCCCATCATCTCAATGGCTCTGGACTCTCCAGTAGCTCCTTGTCCTTGAAGTGGGGAGCCCAGAACTGGACACAATACCTTTCCTTCAGCTTGCTGATCACTTTTGCAGTTCATAGTTTAAAATAAGTTCACAGAAATGTGGTGTGGATGAACCATCAAGAGGAAAAGGATGAGTTCTGGTTTCATGGAAATATGTACCAGTGCACATGTCTGTGTTGAGATTCAGGCTGACTCCTTTTCTTCTTTCACCACACCTATCCCTGTTGAATGTGCTGTGGTAGGACCCCGCTTCTGCAAGAACTGGAGCTTAGCATATGTTTAGCCATAGAAAGGAAGTAATTTTGCTATGAAGAAGTCCAGTTATCTGTTACATTACACTTTTTCATAAGTAATCTGTTTTATATTGACCTAATTCAAGCTGCTCAACGCTTGATTTTCCATCTCCGAGTACAATTGACAACTTTTCAAGGTAACGAGAGTGAATTACTGCAGCTAATAGTTAGGTATAAAGCTATTTGCAAAGTTTTTCTCTGTTTGCAGGATGGACGCTTGACATTTTACCCAGGAAATCAGACTGTGGATTTGCCTTTCATAAATTTTATGAAAAGATACGGCACTGTGTTTCTCAATGCCTACACCAATTCTCCCATTTGTTGTCCTTCCCGTGCAGGTAGGGCCAAGCGAAACATCAGATAAATACTTGCACATGTCAGTTTATATGTGTTGTAATGATAGGAAATGTCAAAGGATTGAAAGTTGGGGGATGTGTTTTGTTTTACAATAAAACACAGGTTTTTTTAGTTTGATTGTGTCTGAATTTATACAGTATTCTCATGCTTGGTCTGTTTTGCTCTTCTGTTTCTTATGCTTCTTTCTTTTTTTGTTTGTTTGGTTGGTTTTTTTCCCCTCCTTTTTCCAGCTAAGTGTGAGCTCCCAAATCTTTTTGTAAACGGCATTCAAGCTTCAGTATCTTAAAAAAACCCTTCAGGATTTGTAGAAAAATCATTGGTTTGTCTCCTGCAGTGCTGAAGCTGCATTCAGAACTACTCTCCATTCCCAACACATAGTTAATAAATCAGGGAAAAGTATTAAATAACAACATCTGAATAAATCAGTGGCTGTTAGCACTGACTTCTGATGGCATTTATTCTCAATACTCTGTTAAGTACTGTTAATGTGTCCTTCAGTAGCTTTGCTTGAATGCTTCATTTCTTTTTCTTTACTTTCTGCAGTCATTGTCCTGTGCACAATTTCACATTTGCAGAGCTTGCTGTCAAGTTAGAAGGGAGCTGTATTCTGGAATCAAAGATTACCTCTTAAAACATTTCTAGCCCTTTCAGTTGTTGCAAAGACCCTCCAGAGGTGACGTAAATGAAATTTCATCTGCAGCTGGAAGGGAGATCCCCCTTTCTATCAAGCATACCTTGGCAAAAGCAACGTGTCCTGACTGCAACTGGCACAGGCTGTCATATTTAGTGTTAGTGTCAGTGTGCCATTTATTGACAACCTGCAGAAAACCTTGATTTAATAACTGTGTAGCACAACACAATATTTAATAATATTGTATAGCACCTGGAAACATGGGAGCTTGTTCCATGATTCTGGAGATTGTTTTAGTAAATGTTGTTACTCATGGTGATGATGAAAATAAGATGCAGAAGAGCAATACTTTATATTTCTTGCTCTGTTGGATTACAATGTGAACTTTTCACTGCTAAAACAATAAGACAATCTGTTCTCAAGTATATTCAACTTTCATTTAGATAGGAAGTACCACTTACTCATCAAAAACTGTATTTTTTTTTCCCCAGCCATGTGGAGTGGTCTTTTCACTCATTTAACAGAATCTTGGAATAACTTCAAAGGTCTGGATCCAGACTATGTAACATGGATGGATCTCATGGAGAAGCATGGCTACCACACGCAGAAGTATGGGAAACTGGACTACACTTCTGGCCATCATTCAGTGAGGTAATGAGAGAGTTTCTCCTGCTGTGAAATGGGCAGGGGTGAGTACATCATGTAACGGTCTGGCAAGTGGTTTCTGTCCTGACTGAAATGTTAATAGCTTTAATTTAAAAGAAATTGTGGTAGGAACCTAGCAGGGGTCTGTCTGTCTGGCAGCTTTATGCAGAAGCAAGCACATCCCATGCAGATGCACTTTGGCTTTTACCTGGAGCTGGAAGGTGAATATCAAGACTGGGGTTTTGCCCAACGTGAATGAAGGCTGGTTTTGATCACTGGTATTGCTCCTTAAGTGAATTTTGTAAACTGTTTTTGTCTTGCCATGAAACTTCCTGGCTTGAGTATACTAGCAGTGTAGGAAAAGCAGAACAAAGCAGCATGTAATACTTCATTAAATTTACCATCACATAACATGAGGTGGTTTCCGTATTGAAGGCCACACGTTTTCACAGACTTGTGCTGTGCTTGCTATGCTATAAAGCTTTCTTTTTATGAAAATGTGACTAGAATTATGGCAATTTATGAAAAATACTTAAACATTTAGAGGCTAACTGCATTATGTTCAAACAGTAATAAGCATGATGTGTCTGGAGTGCTGGGACAAAATACAGCGTGTTCCTTCTGTGAAGTCCTTATAAAGACACACTATGTCCCTGTTCAGTAGTGAGGTCCATTGTTGAAATAATAATAAGGATTAGCTTTTCTTTGTTTTTAAACAGATTAGAGTTACTTAAAATTTCCTCATTTCCCTCGCTGAAATGAGCAATCAGAAGTTAAAGGTCGCATTAGTAGTTAATAGCATGTTGCACGTGTGCACTGCCTTTTACCTACAAAATACTTTATTATCCATTTCAGGAGGCTGGTCAAAGTAACGATTTCCTCTCCTGTTTAAGACTGTCAAAAGAGAAAAGAAAGCTTTTTTTCCTTTTTCCCTATGCCCATTCTACACTGGAATTAAAAGATTGTTCAAAGACAGACTTACAGCCAAAAACCTCATGTTTAATTACTGTACCAGAGAGCGTACATATTTGGGTACTCCTGATGCTTCTCTCTCGTCTCTGTCTGCAGCTCTTCTTAGTGACAGCATCTAACCATGAACAGATGAGTGCTCAACCTCTTCTCTTTCGCTTTGAAGTTTTATTTTGCGAAGACTTCGTTATTGCAAATTATCCTGAAAACTTAATTTTGTTTTTGTTTTTGTCCTTCCAGTAAGAAACAGTTATATGCATGATGTACTGAAAAGTCATCTGCTATGGTGTTATTGTGGATTCTTGTGCTTGCTTTTGTCAGTGTCGGGAAAATTTCCTCTCTAGCAGGAAATAACTGACTATTAAGATGAAGGCTGACAGATGTTTGTATTACTGTAGTGCAGAGATGGTTGGTTGTGATTGCCTCAAGCATTCATCTGTTCGGAGGAACGTAATCTTAACATCATCTGCAAAGTGCCAGGAACAGAGCACTCGGTCAGAAAGCAAAGGGTCAGATTTTGTTCTGTGTAACAAAGCAAGACCGAAATTATCCTGTGGCTGCACCATTCCTTAGCATTTCTAGAAGTGATTTGCAGTAAATAAAATGAAAATTATCTGCAGTGTTATGCAGACCCTTGCACTTTTCTCTGAGTTGCTTTTCTGCATTGTCTAAATAGTGTACAGCATGCACTCACTCTGCCCTTCACTGAAATAGAAGAAATGCTTTCTAACATTGAAATCTGTTTATCTGTTTACCCCCTCACATCCATACCCAACCCTTTACCATCGTTTCATTTTAACGTTCATGAAATCTGATTTCTTTATAGGCCATCTAGGTACCTTAATTTGTTCTAAGTAACTCGTTTAAGCCTTGAAAGTATGAGACTAAACAAGGAGTTAAAACGCTTTTAAAAAAGAAAAGTTGTCAGAGATAATTCTGAGTAGTTTTTCTGGAGGTTAAAAGTGCCCTGGTGAAATTCCTATGGGGACAAAGCTGGTTAGTTGTTCTTTAAACAGCAATAATGCTGTGTTTTGATGAATCAAAAATCAAATCTCGAGCACTTTCATACCTTCTTTTATCGTTTTTTTGGTGACACTGAGATTACCATGAACAAAATGAAGACACTCAAGGTTCCCCATGGGCTGCTTCCTCCCAGTCCTGGTTCATGGCAGCTGTGGTGTCATTCCCTCTGGCAAAGCAGCAAGGGCATCCGGAGCTCAGATTTCTCAGCGTTTCAGAGAGGTGACAATTGTCATGATGGTAGAAAATCTGTTCCAAAAATATTTTATCATTAAAGCATTGTTATTTTTTTTCTGCTTCTTGCTTTCTCCCTATACCCTTCTCCTCTGCTATTCCCTTTTCTTGATAGTATTCACCAACTATATCAAAAGCAACTGTACAAAATAAATCAGTCTTACAGGTTTCTGTCCTAAGTGGTAGTATTTAAAAACGTGGTAACAATGCACTCCAAAACCAGAACTTTGGTTCTAAAACCAAAAATCTGCAGCCCTCTTTACCAGATAAATAGTACCTGAATCCATGCCAGCATGGGGAGCAGGGTCAAAGAGATGGAGATGCTATTTCTAAATGTTATTTTGGAGATGTGGGAAGAACCATTCTGACTTGAAGTTGTAATAAAGAAGAAAGAAGATTCAGAAGCAGAAAAGAAGTGGCTAAAGCTGTGCATAGGAAATAGATGCATAATAGCTGTTGATCAATTGAATAACAATTCTCCTTTGTGTAGAAATTACAGATAGACTGCAGCTACCAATACAGAGAAAGCTTTTCAGGAACTCTGAACTCTTTTTATTTGGAAGAAAACATCTTCCACTGAGTATGTATCGTGTGTGTGTCTTTTCAGTAACCGCGTGGAAGCCTGGACTAGAGACGTTGACTTCCTGCTCCGGCAAGAAGGGAGACCCATGGTGAATCTTACTGGGGACAGGAGGCATGTGAGAGTGAAGGAAGCAGATTGGCGGACTACAGATAAAGCAGTAAACTGGATAAAGGAAGAAGCCGTTAACCTTACTCAACCATTTGTTCTTTACTTGGGACTGAATTTACCACACCCATATCCATCACCCTATACGGGAGAAAATTTTGGATCCTCTACATTTTTAACATCTCCCTATTGGCTTGAAAAGGTACGTGAAGATGAATTTTAAATATAAATTTATTTCTATCTGGTTTTATTATGAACAGTTCTCTATTCCCCACGTGATTTTTCAAGTCAGACCCAGTTTTGATATTTCAGTACACGGAAAGCGCTTGGATGAGATGTTAAATTTCGGATTTAAGGCTAGGCAGACTGAGGTGAAGAATGTCTCTGTTGCAGGAAAGGCTCTGTTAGCAGTGGTCACTGAATCCATAAGGACAGTTGGAGTTCAGTGGCTAGAAACATATTGAGGGGTGAATAAAATCATAGTTAGCTGTAGTTGTTTTTTCAGTAATGGTCTGAGGTTCCTTATTTATAATATTCTGTATTGTGCTTGTTACAAACGATGTCATCATTCTGAGTTTTTGTCGTGGTTCAGGGCTGGGCCGGCCACTAAACCCTGGCCAGACGCTCTCTGTGAACCCCTCTGCCCTCCCCAGAGGGGAAGAGAAAAGAGAAGAAGGGAGAGAGACTGCACGGGTTGGAAAATAAACTAACAGATTTAATGAAACAATAATACTGATACTACAGGATAATGATGGAAATAGGGAAATAATGGAATATATATATAAATATGTACAAATATCTGCAAAACCAATATAAAATCCTCCCCCCACTCTCCCCCCAATGACGAATACGTCACCAGAGGCTCTGCAGAGCCGGGCACTGGAAAAGTCCCAGACCAAACCCAGCAGCAGTGGGAGCTGATGCAGGACACACAAATCAGGATCAGCGGCAGGGGTCTGCTCAGGCCTTGGCCTCTGCAGGATCGAGACGGACGGAAGGGTCGAGATGGAAGGAACAGTAGAAAGGGCAAAAGCACAAAAAAAAAGGGACTAGACCCTCGTGATCCCTCAGTTTTTATACCAAGTATGGCATGTGTGGGATGCAATACCTTGTTGGTCAGTTTTGGGTCCGCTTCCCCCCCTGTAGGCGCAGACACAGCACCCATGATGAGACAGCTGACCTTGAGCTTATCTTCTAGCAGCGCTGTTTGGGAAAAACGTGCTGCCAGTTTTCAGCAAGTTCAGTCACTTAAAAGAGACTGAGCTGAAAAGTAAAATCACTACATAGAAAATTAGTTCTGTTTAGCTCAAACCAGGACAGTTTTATAGTGAGAGACTGACTTTTCCTACAATATGAACCTGGAACATGAATTAGTAAGACACAGCAGAAGTCTCTCTTTTCAGTTAACTTCCTTCTGTGCTACTGCAGCTTTTCAGTGGTTTTAGAGTGCACAAAGTCCGTATGTGGAAAGCTAACAGATAGCGCTCCATCCCAAAGAAGTAAATATTCTCTCTCATGTGTGGTGCCATTATCTGTCATGAAAATGTAAATGGCTTACAGCAGCATAAGGGCATTGAGGTTTTCTGCAGCTGACGAACTGGGAAATAGGTTTGAAAAGACTTTATGATTACTTAAAAAAAAGCCATATGCCATTTATACAACTCCTTTGGCCTTTTCCACTGGAGATCTGCAGGATTTGTTTTATCTAGGTGCAACAAAAATATAAAGACTTAGAAAAAAGGACATAGAGATGGAGGTTGAGAGATGTGAATGTCTTCGTAGTATTGAGGGTTGTGGGTGGTTTTCTTCTAGGAATGATGAGTTTTTGGGGAGAGGAAGGGTGTGGGGAAAAAAACCTAAATTTGGAAAAAGCAAGACCTAGCTTGGATATTAGGAAAGCTTTCTGGGTGCTACTTGCTGGGTTAGACCTGTCTTGGGAAGCAGAGGTACCTTTTCTCAGGTCACCGACAGAGTTAAAACATCTCTAGACAAATTTTTGTCATCCTTAATCCAGTTAGAGTGCTTAAATGCCATGGTTTGCTGAGGGCCTTATAGACATGCTCAGTGATGTGAATCACAGGTTGCCATTTATTGACCACTGGCTGATTCTCCTGGCATGTATCTATGCTTTGGCTGTGGAAGAAGTCGTCTTTGAAAATGAGCAGTCAACCTCAGGAAGAAGTGTGAGTGCACAGACGAAGAACCTGAACTGAATGATGTGTTTACTGGGGAGCTAATACAGAGCAGAGTGTCAGCACGGTGTGCTGATGAGACCTTGTGTTGCTGAGCAGATGGTCCTCCCCATTTTGCACCAGCTGACACTTTTTCAGGGCATGGGACTTCTTTCCTAGCTACAAATGATGACAAGCGGACAAAGGGATGATGACTTTGTGAATTCTTCACTCTAGGTTGTAGTCCTGTAGAAAGGGGCTCAGTCTTCTTACGAATTGTGGATGAAAAGGGACACTCTTTGCTCCCGTTACATCTTAAGCAACTAACAAATACCATTTGAGGAGTCTACACTGTGGCTCTGTGTAGCCAAGGACCTTCAGCAGTAGCACTGGCTGAAGCAGTTGCCTGCTCTTTTTTATCTTCTGTGATTTCTTCATGCAGATTGTTTTTGTAGGGCCTAAGGAAACGTAGGTTTTGCTATGTCTGTTTGACTCCTACAATGTTGAGTTCTATCCCTGTGTTATAGGCACTTCAGCTGTTGCTGTCCTACTGTTTATAACTGTTAATACATCTGCTGTATAACTCAAGAGAGAATATTGACTGTGGGCGAGTTTCGTAGGGACTGAAACACGTGGCCGTAACAGCGCTGGTGGTCAAAGATATTAAAGAGAGACAGACGCTGTGCTAGTAGCTCCCCAGACAGCTCTTTGTTACTGGTGCCACATCTGGGGCAAAGCCAGGCTGGGTTCAGCA